GCGCCTTGCGCTGCAATGTGGGACTTGATAAATAGGCAATTTCATCAGTTACCTATCAACGGCAAGCCTAAGCCAGGAGCACTACTTAATGTAATTAAAAGTAAGTACATGTATGACTTTTCACTGAAACTTGCTTTTCAGACGCCTTATAATTCTCCCTTAATTTATAGTCATCAAACAAACATCGATGAAGCTGCGAATCTGTCAAGTGCCTCTACATAAAAATATTATTATGTTTAAGAAAGAAAAACCAGTATTTTTGATATTCTTTCATATTTTATATCTTATTATATTTAGTTTTGTTGAGTCTCATAGTTTAATACTTTCCATCAATATACTTTATTGAATGAAGCCTACGCAATAAAAAAATATGTAGTATAGAACCTATTCGTATGCATATAAATAAAAGACTTAAGTTTTATTACAGGTAAAATAACCTTTTTTATTAGTTCTAAACTAAAGTGTAATCAGAAAATTCTTCATCTTTCGTAGAACGTATGATTGCTTTTATTATTAACACTATAAAAAACATGACTAAAATTATAGCACAACACTTTCATTATATTTTAATCAATAATGTTAAGCATTTTTGCAAAACGTTTTGATAAACAAAAACGCTTAAAATTGACGATAAAAACAAAATAAAAGTGTTGTGTTATAATTCGTAATATGTTTTCTACAGTGTGGAGAATGAAAGCAAAATCGCACATTCTACGAAACAAGAGCAGATTTTACGAAAGTGATTTCGTTAAATATATGAATTATTTCTGTGCATCTGCTAAAATTATGGTTTGTTGGCGCCTTTAACCTAACGAAAGTTGTATGTATTATCCGATTTGCTGCTCTCCCGTGTTATTACGCTATCGATTCAGGGCTCTCTTGCAAATTTTTGGGGTTATTATACACTTTTCCAATAAAAATTTGCAGGCTCCTTTACAAATTAGTACTAACTATTTGTTACTATAGAAACTTAATATTGGAAAATCACATCCATTGGGCCAATCGTAATACAGGAGAGTTCGATATACTCAATGGTGCAACAGGTCGATTTAATCTGACAGTCACGGCAACTTTTTTTACTTGGCGATTTTTAGTAATAACTCGTCTCTAGCGCCACTTGACAACCTTTTTTGTAATAATTTTTCTCTTACCGTTACCAATAAATATTTTAAATATTAGCCAAATCGGATTATAAAAAAGATTTTTAGTAATAACTCAACTATTTACAGCACCAACTGGCGGGTTAAATTGTGAAACTAAACCAGAAGAGACCCACTCAAACACTCAAAAAAATTTCGTTATAATCCGGACACACATTTAGGAGGATTTCACTCACAAACACACCTACAGAAGAATTATAAATACATTCAAATATAGCTTAAAGTCGGTACGTTTGTAGGCCCCACGCCCCTTTTCAAATAACCCCATTTTTCTCCGTGGGTATGGGCTTGATTTCATATACATACATACATATCTCCATACGAATTTCCAGTACTATACCATGAACACTTCCAGACATATGCAATATGAAAAATTCGGTTTGTATGGGAGGTGCATGCCCCCTTTTCCAATAGCTCCAATTTTTCTCCAAGAGTATGCGATTGGTTTTATATATCTCCAACCCAAGTTCCAGTATTCTACCATGAACATTTCCAGAGATATGTAGTATGTAAAATTCGGTTTGTATGGGAAGTACCACACCCCCTTTATGTATCGAGTTTTGTTTTAGTTTATAACCCTCCTTGGGGCGTGTGCGTCAGGTTTGCGAAATTTCAAAAAAATCGGTTTACGAGCTTTACGAACACAAAAAAAGGGCTTTCAAAATATATATTAGTATAGATATATATGTACGAATGTACGAAGATCACTAAAAAGGCTTTAGACTCCGCAACACTAATGCTATCTGACCTTTGCACCCTACAATTTGATATACCTCTGCTAAGATACGCATGAACATCCTTAATACATTTACAGTACGAGCGCTCTTTGTACAGTTATTTCAAAGTTAAAAGTAGACAAAAAGGGAATAGTTGTGTTTCCTAACTCTCAAGAAGTTCCAAGAATTTACCAGAAAGAGTTCCCGTACTCGGTTGTCTGGCAATGTAGGGGAACAATGGGAGAATAAAATCGGTCTTCTCTTTTTCAGTAGTTCAAGATTTTACCCGAAGAATTTTTGATGTTTTTCAATGTTGTCAAGCCGAACTGAAAGTTGAATAAGCAAAAACAAAGCTACATAAAGCATTTTCACTTTATTAAATATGTATATCGTTGCGAAGAAATGTCAAGTTTTGTAAACATTTTTGTTAAATTTCCTGTTCGTTTGCGTATAATTTAGCATATCGCCAAATGATAAAAAACAGCTTCTTCGTTTTCTTTTTTGGCGCTGTAATCGCCAAAGCGATTTTGTCCGAGTTCAACAAAGCACGACAGTGGTTTGGTCTTTCTACCGCAGTGGGTACCTCATTCTTCCTCTGTTACCACCAGCGTGTTATCGGTACCGACAAAATTGGTTTCTTTCTTAGGTATTCTAAGAACCTTTCAGTGACCCTCGTATATGTGAAAAAACATTACTATAATTCATTTTCTATTAATACGTCGACAATATTTGACTTTTACAAATATTTCAATCTCACAAGTAAAAATTCCATAGCCTTCAGAACGAAGTCCATGTATTCCGGATTTACGCTAAATTTCCCCTATCTACGCCATTGCCTCGATGTATTATTTAGTAAAGTAGGTACTTACTGAAAATGACTGAAACCAAAATAAAAATAATGAGGAGTGTCTAATCAATATATGCACTTTATTTTACAGGACGAGCGAAAGAAAAAAATTGTAGTAGTTAGTTTTCTAAATGTAGCGCATCTTGGCGATTACCAAAAAAGTTAAAAAAATTACCGAAATTGGAAATATCATATCGTTGGCTTAGTTCGCAAACGTGCTAAGTCCACTTTTACCGTAATGTCGTTTTTACTTGTTGTTATGCATTGGTACGCAATTGTGCTAAGTCCAAAAAAATCCAAAAAAAAAAATATATACACGTCTGTCCGTGTACACGATAACTCGAGATATCTCAACGAAATTTGGTATATAGGTTGCCCTTTATCCAAGGTAAGTTGGTATTAAAAATGGGCGAATCGGAATGTAACCACGCCCATTTCCGATATAAAGGTATTTTCTAAAAATGCAAAAAACTACGATATTTCAGTAAATATTGGATGCAAATTGTTCAAAATTAGTATGTGAAGTAGAATTTTTGTAAAAAATATTATTATTATTTTTGGAAAATGGGCGTGACCCCGCCCACCTATTATGAAATGCTGTATCTCAGTAGCCCATTCACCAAACTCGGTACGAGCCTTATTTAGGGTCTAGCTAAGAAATCTGTTAAAAATCTAATTCACTTAAAATCGATGATCGCGATAACCATAAGATTAGATTATGATACATTTTTGGATAATGGGTATGGCGCCGCCCACTTATGACCACAAATGTATAACTCGGTAACCGATTTATCAATTTCTACCAAACTCGGTGTACTTAATAAACCTGGTACGGAAAAGCAGTTCGTTGAAAATTATTCAAATCGGACCAAAATTACATTCGGTTCCCGTATATCTAACGGTAAATTTCAAAAATACGGAAACTCTGATATTTCAATAACTGAAGACGCTAATTTACTTCAAGTTAATACTTACAACAATCTCTTAACAATAAATAAGACTGCGTGACACCGCCCACTTTATGACTACAAGGTGTATTTCGGTAGCCACTTTAGCGATTTCTACTAACCGTGGTTCAATTATTTCATTGAGTTTAACTCAGCATATTATCGAAAACGTTTGAAATCGGGAAAAAAGCCCCTGCCTACGACAGTATTTGATACCTGCGCCGGGTATATAAAGTTTGGATTCGCCCAAACTTATACCTCTTTACTTGCTTTTAATTATTTTCTTTTATAAATGGTACATAAATTTACGACTTAAAATAGTTATTTTTGTTAATAGCAATGAAATAAAACTGTATTAGGTTATAATTCAGTTTAAAACAATAAAATATATTTAAACTAACAATTAAATCTTTTAACAATAAAAAATAATAAAAAAAGGTTGATAGAAAATATGCTAAGTCCACATTAAAAGAATAAAATCTTAAAGAGAAAATGTGGTAAGTCTTAAAGAGCCTATAAGTCTGCAACAGCTTTATTTGGAAATTGGCCGATTATTGGTACTAAAACAAGACGAACTAAGGAATAACACTGCATTTACAGATTAGAAAAATATTGAAAACAAAAAAGTTAGACGTTTTTTTGTCCCTCCTGAAAAATAAAAAAAAATGGACTTAGCACGTTTGCGAACTAAGCCAACGATATTTTTATTCGACTTTTTCTTCTTATTTGGCGCTGTAACCGCCTAAGCGATTTTGGCCGAGTTCAACAAAGCACGCCAGACGTTTCTCTTCTGGGCCAACTGACGCCAATTGGAAATGCCAAGTGAAGTCAAGTCCTTCCCCATTTGGTCTTTCCAACGCAGTGGGGGCCTCCCTCTTCCTCTGCTACCAACAGCTGGTTCCGAGTTGAATATTTTTAGAGCTGGAGCGTCGGAGTCCATTCGAACGATATGGCCAATCCAGCGGAGCCGCTGTATTTTAATTCGCTGCACTTTGTCTATGTCGTTGTTAAGCTTATACAGCTCATCGGTCCAATGTCTGCGGTACTCCCCATCGCCAACGCGTTAAGGTCCGTAAATCTTCCGAAATATCTTTCTCTCGAATACTCCAAGAGCCACCTCATCGGATGTTGTCATTGTCCATGCTTCGGCGCCATATACCACCAACACGGTCATGATAAGTTACTTATAGAGTGTGATTTATTAGACACTCCTCAAATATAAGACGTATACTTTTTGTATAGATTTCTTTCGATTTTACCCTTTTTTATAAAGCAAGGAAGAGTGAAATAAATGCATTATTCTTAACAGTTTTTATTTTTTGTGTGTCAAATAGTTTTTAGGTAATCATGTAGATATATAAACATGACATCACTTTTTCGTAAATGATATTTACTAGTTTGTATAAAGCATATGTTTAATAAATAATTTGTCTATTCTCATTATGTTTAAATGCTTTCTATTTTACACGAATACCTAATGTTTACTTATATGTATGTACAATATTTACATTTACTATACTAATTGTTTTTTTTTATTGTTTCGAACAAATTGTAACACATTTTCCATGAAATTTATAAATGAATTAGAAATCTATTGACTCCATTTCATCGAGAAACAAATTAATTTTAATGATTTTTATAAAACTAAGTACGGCTTTTTGAGCAATTTTCTTTGTTTCATTACTTATATACAAAAACGTCCATTTTTAAATTCTACATACCTAAATACCTTCAAATCAATATTTTTAAGTTTGCCGCAAAATGTGAAAATTTACATAAATACATTCCATCAATCATATCATATCTATCAATTATTTAATACGAGCATGCGTAATAGCAAATAGTATTTAATGTTATAGGATTTTGTGTGCGAATTTGAATTGATGATCATTCTGTTTGGCTCGCCAGTAAGAGTAATTGCGCATTTGCAAGTACTTAAGCAGTATGCGTGTGTACGAGTATCAGTAATGAATGCCCGGTGTTTGTGAATTCGGATTCGAAGTGTTCCCTGAGTCGCCCAGCCAAGAGTCAGGACTTGGTGGAAAGTCAGGATAGCCCTGCTCTGGACTAGAATCATTGCTCAAATCCGATACTGCGCTGCCATGTACTCGATGTGCTTTCGACGCAGATATATTATTCGATGATGTGTTATGATCTGCAAGTGAAAAGGAAGTGTTATTGTAAATTAAGGAAATATTTGTTATTTTATGTTAAATTTATCGTAATAAACGTTTTTTAGAAGATTATTTATAGGTATGTTGGAAAGTAATATACTAGCTGGAAAGTTTCTGAAAGTGTTTGCCGGTTGGAAATTAAAGTCGATGTGTCTTATGTAGGTAAATCAATCAATCTGTCGCAACCTTGAAGCAAATGAAAGACAGAAAGGTGCTGCCCAGGCCTATATAGTACGATGGAAGGTAAACAAGTTCACGTAATGGAGGGGTTGGTCAGGGGAGGTGGAATTTTATATCTACCACTTCAAATCAATACGCCTAACTACTACGAATATTACGAGTTGCCGACTGAGGCGACTTTCTTTCACGTTGTTAAGAAAAAAAGTTTAAACTTGGCCCTGAAGCTGAATATTTAAAATAAAATAAGCTGAAAATATGGTAAGGCTTTGTGCACCCTTTTTTATTACCCATTTATATCTAACGTCAGCGCAAGAATGCTTACTGCCCTTCAGGAATATAGCACTTGAGTGTTCACGCGACTTTTTGGATGGAGATGGAGTTATGAACCGCATTGTTCCTTGAGATTAAACTTGTAGTGAGAAAAAGGTAAAGAAGCGCCGAACCTTGAAACCTGAAACCATCATTCTTATGAATATTTAAGCCAGTTTTAGCTCTTTCAGATTATTCCCCATTTCCAAAATTAAAAAAAAAAACTTAGAGATTCAATTAACCGCTTACAGTACTGATGCATCATTTGAAACAGTAAATAAAATGAAACCATCATGAAGAATCCCTGCGCTCAAAAGCAACATATTTATGTATGCCGACCTCAAAAAGCTCTCTGCCGTTGTGATGAAATTAAAGCCGAAGTGTTATGATCTTAGGCTCGCATAAGCTGGATAGCTGAGAAAAAACAATGAGGTAATAAGATGCAATTACCCTCTAAACAAATGCGATCTCGGAAAGTATAAGGTTCGGTTCCGCTCACGTGGCTGCTGGTTAACTTGCCTAGGCCTGCAAAATGAGCCCTTTGTAATACCAGAGATATCTCGAAAACTCCTACTCCTCTTTGAACCAGTTTGTGAATTAACGTGCTTCTTTAAGGAAAAATTTCCTAATACTGAGTTTGCAGGCAGCGAGCGGCACGTTTAACCTCTTCCAGGCCAGGGAAAGTGGTGCGAAAGTACCCTTTCATGCAACTCCGTCTGCTCTCTCGTTTACTGGTATGTTATAATGTCCTGGTAGCCACACCAGATGTAAAGCAAACTGCTCTATCATGCATTAAGGGATGCTTTGCTAGCGTTAGAAACTCCTTTTAAAGCTGCGGTCTTTTATAGATCAAAAGGATCTCCCAAATTTGCGCAACAAGGAGATTATCAAAGGGGCTCCTCTCCTCCACATATCCAGAAACATTTCATAGAGAAATGACCGAAGGAGAAGTTATGCATTTCCTTATAATTTTGTCAGCACCGTTTTTCACTAAGACGCTGATCATTGCTTAGCGACAGAAATAAATATTGACTTCATTACATGGTCAGAAGCATTTCTGCATCAGCATAGAGCAACTCATTTTTCTGTACTGGTTTCTTAGCAATGTATTCTAGGAGGGTCTTCTGTAGAGGATAAAGAGCAAGTATTTGAAAACGGTTAGAAATAACGAGAGGAATCCGAGAATTAATAATTTCGCTCCTTTGCCGCCGTCTCTGAATGGTTAGAGGTATGTACTACCACTCGATATGACCTAGGATCAATCCTCGGTCTGAGAAACATCCAAAACGATCACGGAAAAAGTTTTTGTTGAATAACAGCGGTCGCGCCAGGCAATACCAAACTTCCGAGTGTATTTCTGTTTTGAAAAAGTTTCTCATAAAAACGCATCTTCATTTACTTATTTATCAACATCAACACTGAACCACAAATTAGCGAAGACAAGTATTTATTTTTACAGGAGCTCCAGTTATGTATGTAGGCAATCATAATCTTCCTTTTTTCTCGATTTACAGCAGAAACATGAAATGTTGGACCAAAATTCAGAGGGTATTAATTCAGAGCTTCAGAGGGTAAGATTTGTTCTTGGTGTCGAACCACTCTGCATTCCTTTTTCCTAAGGGTATCTTTAACTATGTGGTGACCATATTCTCAAGCCAATCTATCACTTTTACTATTTTTACATATTGGGGTCTACACCTCCTTGGATCCTATAGCCCTGAGTACAGCTTTTCTATAAGCTAAGGTAGCACTGTCCTAGTCGAAAAAATGAACCCCACGACCTACCTAGTAAAGTCAATTCGGGTACGCTGAATTGAATTGAAATGGTGATAATAGTTTTTAAAGGTTAGGTCATTTAATCGAGAAATATCAAATACAAATTTTTACGCGAGACCCGTTTTGACTGAAATTTTACGATTTTCGATGACTCTGAAAATTGATAGTGGGAGGTATTTGGGTGCGAGGAATCTGAATTTGACATTATTTTTGCGGTCCGAAAAATATTTAGTAAAAAACTTCCAAAAATGACCAAATCCGGCCAAAAACGTTGATTTTGCATGGAAATAGCCCAAAATTTGTTGGAAATATATTTTGTTAAAATTTTTATTTTATTTAAAAAAAAATGCATAACTAAAGATTTCATCGCATCACTCATAAACAATTTTTGATTTTCAGCCAGAAATCCAAAATTTTGTATGGTAATTCGGTAATAAAGCTTGATGTTTTATTATACCATGTTCTGACCGACATCGAAAACATGTTTTCGTTGCTAAAACTGGTTTTCGACTTAAAACTTGTGTGTTTCGTCCATGTAAAATCTGTCAAACGAAAACTAGTTTTCGCTGAAAACTACTTGAAAACTCACGTTCCACTCATTCCAATCGGTGTCTTCACTAGTTTTTTTCGATTATTTATCGAAGTGGAAGTCATATTTTATCATCTTTAATAAGCCATTTCGGATTTATTGTTGGCTGGCAAAAGTAAAATAAGAATGAAAGTAAGAGGTTACTAATGAAAAGAAAATGAGGGAAAAGCATTTTGGTTTTGTTTTTGTGTAGTAAATCTGTAATCAGAGGATATAAGAAATGTCAACGAAAACACTAACAACCGGTGTGAACAGCCTTCAGCCCACAATATCAAAACACGTTTTCAAAGTGTTTTCGTTGTCGGTCAGAACATGGTATTAGAAGAAATTTGTTGGAATTTACAAGACGATAATGAAGATGAAGATGATTGAAAAATCAATTTGAATTTGAACAAAGAAAAAGGAAAAAAATTGATAAATATATTTGGTTATACATATTTTTTGGTCATTTCTACCAGTTTGATTGCCGCACCAGAGGCAAATTTTTTGACGTTTGCCTTTTTTCCACTCAAATATATAATCTAACCTAGTTTAAAGTTATTTCAATTTGAAATAGGTGTAATTACCATAAAAAATTTTGGAGTTTTTGCTCAAAACCGAAAAATTTTTTATGAGTGGTATATTTTTCTTTTCTGATTGCGATAAAATTTTCAGGAACGTATTTTTAACACAAAAAAAAATGTTTTTGAAACAAATTTTGGGCCATTTCAATACAAAATTCAAAGTGTTTGGCCGTTTTCGATCCTTTTTGGATGTTTTTTGTCATGTTCGGATTCGGATTCCTCGCACCAAAAACTCTCCAATACGAAATTTTAAAGCAATCGAAAGTCGTAAAATTTAGCTCAAGAACGGGTTCGCTATAAAATCTTGAATTTGATATTACTGGATTAAATACCTAACCTAGAAAAATGACTATCACCATTAAATTCAACGTACCCGAATGAATGAATTCTTCGTGCCATGCACATCGAATCTTAGCATGATCCTCTACCTAAAAAGTCTATCGATATGAACTTATTTGTTCCAAATTCAATGCCTTTTAGAGATGTGTACGCTCTTGTAGTTGAAGAACAGAAGTGTTATAATTTGCTTTGTTATGACCAACATACTCTATGTATAGCTAATCCGTTTATTATCACAAACAATAGTTTTGGTGATTATTTTTTTGTAGTATTCTAAGGCTGACAATTTCAGAAAAACGTTCATAATACTTAAATTGATATTGATAGGATAAATATTTTTAAATATAATTGTTTTAAATATAAGTGAGCAGCATTTTTAATACACCTTTTACTTAGTATATCATTCGTAACAAATGGTTAGTAAATAAATTGTTTGAGCTTTCTTTGCAAGATGTCTATAAAAAAATTATATTTCTGAAATGTTCTGATCGCAAGATTTTAAGATTGATTGGAGCAATTAGACATTTATTTGCGTTACGGTATGTAAAGCTGCTTACCTATATTTGTATAAACAATGTTATCGGGATATGAACCAAACGAGTGGTTGTGCCCCACTGGGGGTGGTGATCGACTAGTCGGGTATTGCGGTGGACTGGAACTACCGTGCAAATATGATCCTCTTATACTATGTGGTGAAGCACCTTCATCTAAACCTAGATTGACCGTACTGTAGCTATCGTTACTTAAATCTGTAGGAGAAAAATTTAAACAAAATCAACAATGTAGAAATAATACAATGTTGGTATGTATGTAAAAATATGTCACATATTATAACTAATATATACGTATAAGTATGAAAACTAAATAATAGTAATACAATTAGGTGTATTTACCGTGATGACTAAAACTGTCGTAATCTACTTTTAACTCGTCCTTATCGAGGAATTTTTCCGTACGCGGAGAGCAGCTTCCTTTCATTGATCTAAAATATTGGCTCCATCGCGTTCGGCCAGCATCCTTCTTCAGTCGTTTCTCCTTCGCTCTCCTGTAGTAAAAGTTATTAGCTTAAATTTTTTTTAGAGTTGGTTAATTACAAGACTATATAACAGAAGAAAATAAAGAAATGTAGCGGTGTTGTACCATATCATCTGATCTGGAGCCCGTATTCTATGATAAAGAAATAAGTGTGTCCAGTATGAAATATAGGAATATGCATAAGAGATAGTATAACGTCTTCCACTGCAGTGTCTTATGTAAAGACACTGGATTCTTCCGGACTGAACTTATTAGACGTGGTCAGTACTTGTTAGATCATGCTGGATGTTTGGAGTTTTCTCTGTCACCCGCATGAAAACGCCGCAGATGGACGACGCTACAAATTTCAATTTCTTCCCAGAGAAGTGCCGTCGTACAATTAGAAGCTCCCTCTTGGGGCCGCATAGCACGCTGGCCACCATTATGCTGTTTAGATCTGCTTGAAAGACGCTGCAATGGCCCGGTAAGCGAAAATTGAGGTTTAGCGCGAGTTAGTCAGAGCAAATCCCGCTACACACTCTTTTGTTAAGCTTGGAACCATCTGTATATATGTGGTCCCTTCCCATTCCTTCCTCTCTAGGACTCTTGTGGAGAATTTATTGTCTAAACAGAGTAGAGGAGTGGTATAATCTATCTGTTGTAGATTATCCGGTAGAGTTTCAAGTACTTTTGCGTGCCCGAATCTGAGATCTCTGCACGGCTGGATTGTATTTAACCTGGCAGCACTGCAGCCGGCCCGAAATTTGTCGTAGAGACCCACAGGTGGAAGATTTAACATTATTTCCAGAGATTTGGTGGGTGTAGAGGGCAGTGCTCACGTGACGAGCATGGCAGCCGTCCTCTGCATACGTTCCACCTTAGCTCTGCACAAGGTGTTGTTTAACGCAGGCCACCATACGGTGACCCCATAGAAAAGGATGGGTCTTATCACAGTACATCCAGTGTACTATAAGTGGTTTTATTCTCCATTTTTGGCTATAGCCGCCTTACAGGCATACAGCGCGATATTGGCCTTTCTGGCCAAGGTGGGAAGTTTAAATTATGGAGTTTTGTACTTCCTTGTGAAAAGTACCATTTATGTCTTGGTTGAATTGACCCTAAGTCCACATTCCCCTGGACCACATGTTTACCAGTCCAGTGCGTTTTGCAATAACTCACTCAGGACCTGAAGATGTTTGCCCGTTGCAACGATTGCTATGTCATCAGCGTACGCTGTGACTTGACAAGCGGTGCCCTTAAGGCTTAGAAGTAAGGTGTTCACTGTTAGATTCCAGAAAAAACGCCCCTTTGGGGAGTGCCTCTGGTCACATATTTCGTAATGAAATCATCCCCATCTCTTCTCGGGTTAAGACATGGGTGTCGGCTTTACCTTCCTTTTAGACAGGGGACATTGTGATTTTTGGGTTTTGCTACGGTTAAAGTTTAATTCTAATAGGGTCTATACTCAAACCGCCAGGGGTCGAAATGTACTCTGAGGGTTGTGGAGTTTTTAACTATACAAGAAGCAGTGACGGCATTGGTTCGCCAGCCATTTCTGCTAAAGTTTACAGCGACATTGGCCTGACAGTCGTTTGGCTAAAGATCATCCTAACAAACTCAGGTAGATCAAGACCAACAGGTGTGCTTGGCTCAGCGGTAGAGTGGTAGCATTGAAATTCGTTGCGTTTTCAGAATTTCTTCTAGAAACACAAGCTTGAAGCTCCAATAAAATTTTTGATAACAAAAAATTGGTTTGACTTTTCTGGCTAGGGTTTTGGCCTACTGCTTGGCATCGCCACTCTAGGATATATAAAGAGTGCGGCAGTACGCGCGAGTGACGAAATATAAAGATGCTGGTAGATTCTTTACAACGTACCTATTTTGAAACCACACTTGGACGACTCGCATGTCCAGTCCGGTATCTTGCGATAGTTGTTCTCGTACATGTCGTGCAGGTTTAGGACTATTATTGTAGGCTGTTTTAAGTGTTTCTAATTGTTTTGCCGTTATTGTTGTACGAGGTCGTTTATTTGGCTGATCACCATCCAATGAACCATCCAAGTAGAGTCCTACAAAAAGAATGCAGGTAATGATAAACAATACTCATACATTTTGTTTAAAGTTTTTAATATAGTATGATTTTATTGAACACACACCAACCTTTCGCCTTCGCCTCTTCATAATCACGCTTACATATTAGCTTCCTATCTTCCATAAGGTAGAACTCATCACCGGTATTTAGTGTTCGAGAGCATATTGTACAAAGAAAACATTGTAAATGGTAGACATTGTCCTGCGCTCTCCGAACTACTTGCGTTGGCGGAATTCCCATATCACATGCGGAACACTTTGTTCCATATCGTCTAGTAGGCCCGAACATTGGAAAGGCAGAAGTTTTAATTAGTGCTACTTATTTTGTTTTTAGCAAAAATAAATTGTTTCTATTTCATAAAATGTATCTTAAATGTATCTATGCTGTCTATTTATGTCAGTTGATGTACAGGATGGTTGGAAATCCGTTTTTTGTTAATTTAAATTTTCTATTTTATTAACCAAAAAAAAAAATTGATCCGTTGTCTCAACATCTTAACGCCTTTCGAGAAAAGTTGTTTGCAATTTTAAATAAAATTGAGTGCAAACCGACATACACGCATATATACATTTTATTTCAAGGATCAGTAGGAAAATCTGCATGTTTCTTTACTTCAATAATAGTTCTTTCACTCCTCTCGGTTTCAAAAATTAAATATTTTTAAAGAGCTACATGTATGTATGTATGTAAATATTATTTAAGGGAACAACAATTTCTTAAGTAAATTGAACTATTTTACACGGTGCTACAAAAAAAATTGCTGTATGTCCTTTTTATCATAATCTTATATTCATTGAAAAGCGGAATAAATTGGACAGTTTTAAACGGATTCTCATAATCTTATTTTCATTGAAAAGCGGATGTTGTGTCTTGCCATTGCTTTTAGGAAATTTAAGTTCAGCTGATAATTATTGAATCCTTGAACCATAAAGATTGAGAAAAATCCGAAAAAAATACTTATTGTAACTTTGGGTTAAAATTACACCCTATACTTGTATCAAACCCATACCTAGTGCTCTATCTAAAAACACTATATTTTCCCTATTTGAAAGTGTTACAAAAATCTCTGCGCTATAAAGATATTTCGTTCAGTAAATAATTGTGGGGGAGTAACTCATACGCCATGTACGTACGTACGATTTTAACTTTCCCGTAATTAATGGTAGATCCAATATGGATCGCCATTTTGAACATTAAAAATCTGATTTCAGATTCGTAATTAGCGACCTTAAGTTCCGCTAATTGTAAGTATTTCTTTTGCCGACATATTGGGTCAGCCATTTTGAATTTTTCTAATCTGACTTAAGCTTTAGCGACCCCAAAAAGATAAAAGTAATCTTTAGTTATGGTTTTTGTCGCTTATTTTGATTTTCATAAGTGATTCATAGGAAAAATTTCTGGAAGCTAGTCTGAAAATGGTGATTTAGTACCGAAAAATTGTTTTTTTTTTATAAGCGACACATAACTTGCGATTGTACATAAAAAACTGACTTTTCACCTCTTAAAAATAACGATAAGTTTCCAATGTTTTTGAGCAGAGCCGCATGTGTTTTGACGTGGAATGACCCACATGTATACTGGGTTTGGGGCATGGCGGTATTTTGGAGAATAAGGACGTAGATGAGTGTGTAGAGAAAAGATTGGCGATAGAACCTGGGGAACTAGAGTATCCCTTTCACTTCGACCACGGTGCAATGAACAAGAAACATGTAGCTGATAGGACTTTTTAAATCACCTAAGCCTCTTCTCTTTACATTACCAACACAACCCGGAAATATTGGCTTATGGACGCCCCTACCCCCTGCACCAATTTCTATGAATGATTCAAGAATGAGAAGCAGATTCACGGGTTCATGTGTACCAAGACCATGGAAAAATGTTTATGAATAATTTTTTAAATAATTGCAGACATTTGAAATTAATGTCAAGTATTTTCCAAAAAAGTGGAAGCATTCAAACGTAAAATTTTTTCTTTAATTTTTGAACATAAATAAATAAAAAACCAGAGCTTTTTTAAAAAATCGCCACGGATAGCTCGACGCGGAATTAATTATCTTTTATTTAAAAAAAAAAAACTTGCAATCGGTTCATATTTGGGCTCTCAAAATTAATTTGTCCACAGCAACCTTTTTTGCCCCTCTGTGCGGCGTGCGTATGAAGCTAACTCAATTTACAATTTTTGTTCTGCGTGACATTTTGATTTGACGTTTCGCTCAATGAAATCAAATGCAAACGCAAGCAAGCAAATTTCGGGTGACGCAAAAAAAAAACAAATTCGACTGCGTGCGTACCAAAACGCAAGCCGCGAATATTAGGTTAGCCTGTAAGTTTCAACAAATTTTTCAAACCCTGGTAGCAACCTCTCAAAATTTGTTTAAAATTTTGAAATTTTCATGGACGTACCCCCTATAAAATTTAAATGTTGATGTTTTAAGGATCTCCCTAATATGTACGTTAAATGCGTTGTATAGAAAACTTAAAAAATAACACAAACATTATAGTCGATCATATCGTTGCTCGGCGTGCAATACCGCGTATACGCAAAATGCAATACCGGGTATGAGGTGGCCAGAAAAAAAAAAAGATTTTCGGTAGTGCTGGCGCTACACTGAGAAAAAAAACGCGTTGTAAAAATGAAAATTTTTTATTTGATTACCGTTTAAACATGTTCGTATTTAAATCAAGTGAATAGTAATAAAATAAGTAAGAAAGTCTAAGTTCGGGTGGAGCCGAACATTAAATACCCGGCGCAAGTATTAAATATATGTTTTTTCACCTTTCCGAAACCTACCGCTAGATGGTAAGCCAGGGTGTATCAATTTTGAGTAAATTAGCGTCCTTAAATTTCGAAATATTGCAGTTTCAAGCATTTCTGAAATATACCATTATATGAAAAGCGGCCGTAATTTTAGTCTGATTTCAATAATTTTCAACATTTTGCTTTTATGTGGCAAGCACAAAAAAAAAACACCGAGTTTGGTACAAATTGGTAGAACGGTTACCGATATACATATATGTGATCATAAGTGGGCGGTGCCACGCGCATTTTCCAAAATTTTACCATAAACGTATTTCTTGGTAAAGAATTGTTGCAAGCATCAATTTTTAATAAATTAGCTTTAATATTTACTGATTTATCGAAGATTTTGTATTCTCTAAATTGCCTTTATGAGGGATGTGGGCGTGGTTATTGTCCGATTTCTTAAATTTTCGGCCATTTAGTATGTTGTACCAAGGCCAACAACTGTGCCAAGTTTGGAAGAAATTGGTGCAGCTGTTACCAAGATATACACATGTAACCATAAGTGGGCGTGGCTACGCCCATTTTCCAAAAATTTATAATATTCTTATTTTTCGTCTGAAAATTATTGTAAATATCAATTTTGAGTGAATTATCTTCAGTAGTTACTAAAATATCGCAGTTTTCGTATTTCTGGAAATTACCGTTATATGGGAAGTGGGCGTGGTTACAGTCCGATTTCGCCCATTTTCAATACTAACCTACCTTGGATTAATGGAAACCTACATACCAAATTTCGTTGAGATATCTCAATTTTTGCTCGAGTTATCGTGTACACGGGCGGACGGACAGACGGACAGACAGACATGGCTTAATCGACTTCCCTATTCATTCTGAGCGTTTATGTATACATTTTTCTATATCTATCTCGATTCGTTTTGGCTGTTACAAACAACCTTTATGTGAACAAAATTAATATACCCTTGTGCACAAGTGCGCTCGGGTACAAAAATGCATTTTTCCATTATACATACACTGCGTATAATGAAAATATTAAATTCAAATACGCCCGTATTAAAATGAAGCATTTTTCACTGCACGGATGGCGTTTTGCACGTCTCGGATGCTTTTTCACATGTAATTAGGAAAGTTTATGTATACAAAGCATGCACATATACATATGTACATACATGGTATGACATAATGCACTAATCGCGCGCTGTGATGTTGATTCAAACTCAATATTTGAAAACGCATTTACATGTATGGTATGCAAAGACGCTTGATACAATTGGTTGCTGCCAAGAGGGTCCGGGTTCAATTACCAACATAAAATTACGGAACATAAAATTAATTTTTTTTCCCTTTCTTAATTACGAAAAAGCATTTGTGCAAATCACAGCGCCATATTTTATAGCGTACATACTCAAATTTAAAACGAGTTGGGTTGGTGCTCTTTCATATGCGTATTTTTTTAAATTTAGCACGCTTTTTTAAAATTTTTAAATTTTTTCCCTCAGTGTACTTCACAAATTTAATGGTCAATAATTTTAGTAGAAGCTCATATTTTATAACTTCAGTTAGAAAACCATTCAAAAGTTTAGAAGACAATAAGTTTATATGCACTTTTGTAAAATTTTTGGACTATCATATACGCGGTATTGCGTTTTACGTATACGCGGTCATGCACGCCAATGGACGGTATAAATGATTATCTGTTCAGAGAATTAAAGGAATTTTTTGAAGTCAGTAGAATAAAATCATGAAATAAGCTATTCTAAATAACTTGTCCTCATTTTTAGTAAATTGAACGTTAAAGAATAGAGCTTATGAAATCTTAGCTTGTTATGCATCAATTAATTCTACTGCGATGTGGGGGAACATGTGTTTACAGTTTCCTTAAAAAAATCTACTTAGTTTTGAGATTCCTTATCACTATAGAAACAGTAAATATGAAGTTTTAAACTGAATTTGAAGTTTGTGTTTACTCGTACCAGATTCCAGACAACATATTATAAATTTCCCTGTTCATTTTATAAACAAATACACCTTTGAAAGATAGTAATTTTGTAGCTTAACTTACTTAAAAAAGTCTTCTTTACAAAAAAGTTGACCATTTCGCGAGAAGCATTTATCATTTAGTTGGGTGTGGCATTCGCTGCATTGCAAACATTTCGCATGCCACGTCCGCTCCAACACTTTCAATATAAAACGATCAAGTATTAGTTCATGACAGCCACCGCATTTCGGTATAGTAGCTGAAACGAGAAAAAATGCAGTGTTATTTAAATTTGAGCTATTGACAGAGTTATTTTTTTAACCTATGTTATGATATTAAATTAAGCATTGAAAGTTCACTTGCCACGAGTGTTAACAAAACAAAAGTCGCTCATACGCCATGTATTCGCAAACATACCCAAATTAGTGGAATAGTGCTACAACACCACATTTTCACCAAACGACTAAACGAAACGATTTTTTTTTAAACTAAACACTTTTCACCACACAATATGCCAAAACTCACACAAACCGCAGCCGTGAGTATTGCCTTTAATTTGGTGAAAATACGTTGACGCACAAATACTATTTCTCAAATATATGTGAGTCGAGATATTCGAACATTTTTCATCAACAGGCAAAAAAACTTACTAATATAATTAAACGCTTAAAAATGCACTGCTACTTCTAGACGCCCGAAACCAGATATATTTCATTCGTGGAAAATATTTTTATTTCTATTGGATGAAAGAAAGTAGTAGTTTCAGAAACTAAAACGATCAAGTATGCGTTGAATAAATAAAGTTATGAGGCATGTTCCGATATTCACTTTCGAGTGAATTTCAACCCCTGTCAGTTTTAATTCAAAGCGGATTTGACTGAAATTAACTAGGAAGTGAATTGCAGAACCTGCCTGTATATTTTGAAATTATAAATTATTTTATATTTACAAGCTTTTATTAAAGTTAACCGGCGTTAATAAAATTTTGCAACTAATTTTTAACCAACTTTCTGATGAAGACTGGGACTTGAAACTTGAAACTTAGCGCAGACCCCATTGCCAATGCAACGTGAAAGATTAATAAATCCGCTAGGTGGCGCAGCCGCATAGTCCTTCCTTCTATTATAAAATGTGGGCAAAGTAGTATTGTAGACGGATTTAAATGAAAATTCGCTTCTTAGTGAAATTGAGGACGCTAAATTCAAAAATTCAATTTGTTTTTGGATAACTTTCATATTTTCACTGTAAATGCAGTTTGAAGTTGAAAATTTGGGTTCTTGTAGCATTTACATGTATATGTACATATAGCGCGTTCTATTTTCAAAAATTAGGTTTCAAACTCCAGGGATTGGCCTATAGATGTACAATAAAGGGTTTTTGTTAATGCGTTGCCACCTGTTAAAAATTTGATTGCAAGTATGTAAATGAATTAGGTATTACAATACGGGTATCAGTCGAAATGGTTTTGAAAATGCCTTACTTCTAAGTGACACGCGTAGGGCTGCCACATGTATAGAAAATCAAATTCAATTGAATTAAGGAAATTAGGCAACTGAAATAAGTATATCAATATGGGTATCAGACAATAGAAAAAATTTCACATATTTATCAAGAAATAAGTGAAAATTAAAAACATTCCTGAAACTTTATAGTTAATTTAAGAGTCCAGTAATTTAAAAGTAATGTAATCAGAACAAATCACTGATTGAAAATGCATATGTGTATGTATTTTTTATAAAATAACAAATACGATGTCGTAAACCTTTGGTTTGACACAATTATTATTTTAATTTAAATAAATTTGACTTTACAAACAGGTGGCAACCCTCTTCATAATATTTTCAAGCTAAACACTTTTTCAACTTTTTTTTCGTCTGACACCCATATGCTGATATTTATCTATTGCAATTACTTAATCCTTTTTAAAAAGGTGGCAACCCTCCTACGTGCAGTTATGAAATAAACTCTTGTAATACCCATATCGATTGATACCCATCTCAATTAACTTATTAAAAAATTTGAATGTAATTGTTTAACAGTTGGCAACTCTTAAAAAAAAATAAATCGTCTGCAGGTCAGCCTTTATGCTGTATCACGAAACATCAGGCAACACGAACGATTCGTCTGCAGAAGAATGCTTAAAAAATTAGTCCGGCAGCATCATTCTAGCCGGTTTAAACGCAACCGAGACCATTGCAACTAATATAATCGCAATCAGAGATTGTGTCGTCTGAAGACGAATCGTTCGTGTTGCGTATCGTTCGTGATACTAAATAAGGCTGATAATCTGACACTTAATGTTTGAAAATAGAACGAATCGTGCTGATCTGATATCACTGAGAAAAAATGATTTTACGTATTAGCAAAAAAACGCATTATTTCAAAAAGTGCAAAACATGAGCAGGTTTTTATTTCCTCCTTCGAAAGCTAAAGCCCCGTTCTATTAAAGAAAATAATAAATAATAACATATTTTTACATACATATATAATTTGCAATTATTAAAAACACAGTTTTCTGGAATACCGTAGGGGCACCCTATGCTTAATTTTATTCCAAAAATTGTATTCTTGCAGTTCTTTACTATATACATATATGGAAATAAAAAACGTTAAACATTTAACTTAAGACCAAATATAACTTGACCTCAAGGCGGCTTGACAACAGCGGCTGGAGAGCACATCTATTTCTGTACTTCTATTTGGTAAAGCATTGAGTTCACTTAACATCCTAGAAATAGGCTAATTTTGCGAATACTTGGTTTTATAAAATTCTATTGAGAAAAGTTCACAATACCTTAAAGATCTAACAGGAATATTCAGTTTTATGACAGTACAGTCAATACTTCCATCAAGAATATCATGCTCAAAACATGAGCCCAGATATAGTCCTTCTTCCGGCAAGAGTGTGCAAATCAATTAATTTACAGCGAGAAATATATGGCGGATTTGGCAAACCAAACTTCAACTGGTATAACGCAGACAATTTTTTTGTATACGCTCTACTCTTTTAGAGTGAGTATCAAAATAAGGATGCCAAATAACAGACGCATACTTCAGTTTCGATTTCACGAAAGCATTGGTATAGAATTTATTTGGTATAGGGATCGTTAAATTCAGAGCTATTCCTCTTTATGAAAGTCAGTGACGCGTATTCCTTGGGAATAATGTAGTTAAGGTGATCTATGAACGTGAAATCTGAGTCAAACACAACTCCAATCTCTTTAATTTTATTATAGGAGCATAGAGTGGTGTCTGAAATATCACAAAACACCATTTATTAATATTAAGTTATGGCTTATTTCGCCTACCCCAGTCACAGAAAATATTTAAATCATTTTGAATCGCCTGTACATCAGAGTTAGATTTTATGTATTTAAAAATTTCCATATATCCGCATATAAAAGGTGACCACATTGTTTAAAAGAAACACTGGCATCATTAAGAAACATTAAGAAGAGTAATGGACCTAATATGCTGCCTTGGCGAACGCCCGAAGTAGCACCATATGCATGAGACTTTACACTATCGACTGATACAAAATTGACTCTGTTGACTAGATAAGATTTGTGCCAATCCAGAATTTTGACAAACGCTTTCGTTATATCGGTATATATACCTGGCATCCATCCACAAAAGAAGAGATGCAATAATTTGAGAATACTGCTAGGTTGGTAACAGTTGAGCGTCCAGGGATAACACCATGTTGGGAAATAAATATAAACGGCTTGGTTGTAAAGATCATTATAGTACTAAAAGCTTTTTCAAACAATTTAGCAAAGTTAGCGAGTTTAGAAATAGCACTGTAGTTGGAAATTTGGCATTTGAGGCCTGCTTTAAAGGCAGGAGTGATAAAAGCTACTTTCCATTCATCCTAAAAATGCTCCATTTGAGAGACAGATTAAATAATAGTGAAAGTGGTTCAGCAATTGAAGTAATGCATTGTTTGAGGAATAATGCAGAAATTCCATGACCATCAGCCTACTTCGAATTAATAACCTCGCTTATCGAGCAGATACGCCCTCCTCGGATAATTCCAAACCTCCAAAATCTAACGAGGGAGAAATCCCCATATCGCCTAATTCCCCAATCAATAATAGATCACAAACAAAATTTGATTTGGAAAAGCTAGCAAACAAATTAGCGGTCTCAAAGGGTGATTTAGATGTCCTCCCATTGAAAGATATAGACGATGGAATAAGTGAAGAAGAAGGTTTCGAGTTTATAAAATTCTAAAACGATTTTGGATTTGTTTTAAAATTATGTTCAAAAGCAAGTAAATAGTTCTTATAAGAAACTCGAAAGAAAACGACAGGTATTTATCGCACAGAACTCTGTTTTGCCAATCACCCGTATTTTTAAACAATTAGAAATACTTATTACGCAAGTTTTTTTTAAGGTTTTTTAATCATTTATTGTATCAAGGTAAATTATTAACCTTTTTCAGAAAGACGGGAATATCACATATTTGCATAATTTTTGATATGAAAATAAACATTCAGTAAGATGCTGACATCCAAATGACGTTACCTAATCAAATCCGGAAAGGAGGTTATTGATGTGGGAAAAATCGCGTCGATTAAAATTCCAGTTTGAGATACTCATATGGGATAACTTAGCAAATTGATAAAACCGAAGCTCCAAAACAACAGGGGTATGATGTCTATCAGACTTGTAAATATTATACTTTAATTCCCTACAAATTAGTTCATTTACAAAACAATTGATTTGAGTTAATTGTAAACTATAAAACTCGTCAATAATATAAATTTCATAAGGGCTGTTTACATTACTGGGTATGAGCACATTTTCCGCTACACAATACCATGCTATTTTACTTAATTTGTAGTCTCCCAGCTGCAAATTACAGTGGATCACAAATTTTAGTTTGGTTTTTGTTCTCCAGACGCCACTATCCAATTTTTATGTCGAATTGCTCGGTGATTCCGGAAATCGAGTTTATTTTTTTCTATGGATACGTTTTCGAGATATTTTCAATTTACCGTTATTCTGCTTAAAACAAAAAGTGGTTCCAATTAATCACGTTTACCTTACGAACTAATTTAGCAATCTTAAACGAGAAACGCCAAATCAAAGCTAATAAAATTCTCCATAAACCATGTATACATCACTTTCCGATAGGACTGATAGTTTCTGACAAATTAATTAATCATTCCAGTTTTTTTTTATTTTTTAATGAAAAAAATCAAACTTTAACCGAAGAAAAATTAAAAAAATAACAGGTTCTGTGCCAATTTTTTT